GTGCTACAGCACAGAATACAGACTGCTGACAGGTACCAAGTGGAAAAACCCCACTCATAGTGTGCTGTGTTTTGTCAACATGTTTTACTGCCCATGATTTTCAGCTCTTTGTTATTCAGTATTTATCTTTTCTTTTTTTTTTTTTTCTTCCATTTGTGCCTACATTGCCTGGCAAACCATGTTGTACTATTATAACATTTCTTTTTCTTTTTCCCATAAGCTGCCAGTATCCGTGTTCCTTCAATTTAATAATCATTGTTGAATTTAAACAAAAGTGTGGAAATCGCAAACAAATGATACTGATGTCCGCTCCTATACTAGCAAAAGGTTTCAGATACACGTGAATAACCCTTTCCTTTCAAGATAATGAGTCACTGCATCCATTTGTAGCTATTTAAGTTGTGCTGAATTTTGTTCTCTGTTGTCTAACTGTTATATGACAGGCAACTTCAAAAGTGCTGCTGGCTTGCTCCGTAGCTGTAGGGTGCATACTGTCCATTCGGTTAGAACTGGCCATAGTGCCCACCAGCAACATTTGAGGCAGTAAGATGGAAAACAAGGCTTATCTGGTAAACTCCAACTAGGCAGTGCTGCTCTCAGGACTGTTTGGCTTCACCCAACCCAGCCCATCCATGAAGTACCCAGTACAGTCTCCACACGAGCCCTTTTGCTAATTAGGATTACAGTCTTTTTGCTGTCCTCTTTACATTTTCCATGTTACGGATGTCTCTACTGTTTTGGGTGGAAGAGCGAGTACAGACTTCTCCTTTGAGAGGTCACCCCTCAAATGCTGGACTAGCTGATTTAAGTGAAGGTGGGGTGGTATCATAGATGAGGGCAATTCCTGTGCTTTGCCCCTTTTTTGGTTCCTGCATCTCTGGATTGGCAAAGATTCCTCTACTCTTTATTTTTATTTGCTTTCTTTCACTGTGCTTGCTGGGTTCAGTCCTGCTCTTCCCTTGTTAGCCTTGACTCAGGACTTGTCTTGACCTTAGCATTTTTACTTTTCTCTCTAATTTCATTTATGCTGCTCCTTTAGTAGTGCTAGGGTACGTTCATTGCAGAGCATCGCTTTTGCCTCCCTTACCTAAATAGGGCTTGCAGGCAGATGTTACAAAGTCTCGGTTTTACTGTAGCCGATTCTGGACCAGTGTGAGTAAAGCCTCATGTTTTGGCATTGCTGAACATCATCCTAAGGACAAGACATCAGGTCTGGAGTGCTGCAGACCAGTGTGGCTGTTTGGGGGCAAAGAACTGTTAAAAAGAATGGCCTTGAATGGGGCAATATCCCTGGAGCTTCCCCAGCCAGCATACCTTCAGCTTGATCAGTAGCAGGACCTTTGTTCTATATGAAACCACGTCCTGAACTTTTGTTCACGATAGACGTAATCCCTGCCCAGTGTCTAGCAGCTCCATAAAGAGGTGGCATCTGCTGATCCAAACTCACAGCCTGCCCTGGTTTTGTGTGCTGTTGGTCCGTGACATGTTCTCCGTACCTTTCATTAACCCAAGAGTGGTCAGTGCCCATGGGATTATATAGCTCCTTGCTGCACTTTCCTACTGGTACAAGATGCCCTCTGCTCTTTATGGTGGCAGCCACATTGCCCCTGCTCCTGAGAAAGCAAATTCATCTTTTTTGCTTTTCCTTCAACCCCAACCATTTACAGAAACAAGCAATAAGGAGGAAGTGGAAAAGGTAGTGGAAAAAAAATTTTCCTTCCTGAGGCAGAAAGAACTCTGTACATGTTGGATTAAGAGAGCAGACATTCCTGTTAGCTACAACAGCAACACTTTTTTTTTTTCCTCCAACAGCTGCTATAATCAAAGTATTGAGAGCATAGGTGTTTATGGGATTTCTAACAGTTGGAAGACTTGTAAGCTATTAAACACTGTTTTTAAAAAAAAATAGCATTGCATGTGCTCTGGCTCTTCTATAAACTCAGGTATGGACAGTAGATACATAGTAAATGACATATATTACAGTATTTTAAGAGGTACTACATAAAGTAACCCTTACTTGATATTCTCTCTCTCTCTCTCTCTCTCTCTCTCTCTCTCTCTCTCTCTCTCTCTCTCTTTTTCCTTCATGACTTAAGGCATCACACAGTTACCCGGGGTATAACCAAAGGAGTGAAGGAAGATTTCCGCCTGGCCATGGAGCGCCAGGTTGCACGCTGTGGGGAAAATCTCATGGTGGTCTTGCACAGGTTCTGCATTAATGAGAAAATACTGCTGCTTCAGACTCTTGCTTGAATGGACTGGACCGTGATGCAATGTCTCTTATGGAGAGAGGGGAAGGCTCTTGAATTAAGAGCAGCACCACTGTGGAAAATCACTTGTCCATATAATCACAACTTCCGTATCAGTTGCAGGTTCTGCAGTACACAAACACTGCTTAGTGTTTGCTCACTGCTAAGTTTTCTTACAGGGGTAGATCAAACTTTATAAATAAAACTTTAAGAAGTCTTCTGTGATGTCCTGTTTCTTTTTTCCTGTGGCATTGTACTAAGGCAGCTGCAGGCGTGTGTCTTAATGTTTTGTTAAAAATCTTTATACACAAATAACATAGTAGAGATGTTCAGGCTTTTTATTAGCGCTGCTTTGGAAATCACAGCATGACTGAATTTCTTGAAATTCCAGGAATTATCATATTTTTACTTTTTTTTTTTCTTATGTTGAAATTACTCAGTCTGGTATTTCTTTCTTCCTCTTTGGCTGAATTTTGCCTCTTAACTTTCTCCAAGTATCTTCTTATTGCTGGGTCTTAGACTCAGGGCCCTTACATTAATCCAATTTATAAAGAGGACTGCTTTGAACTTCGGAAGTATCAAAGTGATTATATAAAAATCAACAGGAGATGGCTTTTCTGCACTCTTAGAGTGTAGCACGTGAAACTAAGACCTCATCTGTGCTAGAGGTATGTAACACAAAGGCCCAGAACATTCACATGCAGGCTGCTAAACCCACCAGGGTAGCAGTTATATGCCAATTAATAATCCATTAGATCTTTGGCAATAGGTTTCAGCAGGACCCTAAACCCAGAGCTTTGATCCAAGACCTAGTGACAGCACAGCAAAGAAAGCTCAGTTGAGTCATTTCTCGCCGTAGCGCACAGGTAACCATGAGCTTTCCCAAGCAGTCACTGCACCTCAGTGTGCAAGTGCAGGGCTGAGGACACAGCCAGTGCTCCTGAGTCAACAAGACAGCAAAGTTAAACACGTGCCAGTAGCCCGAGTGGCACAAGGATGCTGCAAATGCCAAGAGCTTTTACAAACCCCAGACCAAATGAGTTGGGGCCTTGTCAGATGCAACAGCTGTTTACCACAGTCCTATTCAGATCATCACTTGTAATCACCACCCCAGATCCCTTGTAGTTCCTTTTGTGAGCACCATCAGGCTGTCTTAACTGCCTAACTGTTGCATCATATTCAGTTTATCTATACAAAAGAGAGATCAGTAAGACAAATATATACAAAATGCGGGAAACAGAAATAGACGAAACAACTGCAGCAGGTTAGTAACTCTTTGCTAAATAGGAAAATACTGTCCCTTACGTCACGGGAAACTTGTGATGACAACTTTCATGGAACTGGGAACTTGAACTAGGATCCCTTTTTAGTAATACAGCCTAGCAGAAGTGGCAAAATTTAAGGCTAATCCACCTTACATGCCTTCCCCATCAGAATCTTGGCCCACTACACCGTGACCAACTCCATCAGATTTTCCAGAATATCCTTCTCCTGTAGAGTACGTATGATATTATGACCCAAAGAGTTGTTGCAGTAAGGTTTTGAGTCAAGTGCTCTGCGTGGGATTGACTGTCTTGCATCTTCCACTTAAAAGGGAAATAGTTTTCAAATACTTCATGTCCAATGTAGACTAGAATTGAGTTCATTCCTGAAAGTAAGCACAGGTCATACCATCAGAAAGAACACATATGAGCGTGCTTCGCAGTAAGCAGGCAGAGGTACGCCAGGCTCGTAAAATGGAGCGGCAATGACGCAACAACAGCTAATCGCAGCAGCTAATCGCTTTGCCACCACTCTCCTCCTGTCCTGACTTCCCTTATTACTAAATTTTGATCATTAATCTTTCTTGCCCCCAAGATGCTATGCATGGTACTTTAGTCTGAGAGATTTTTGCCTTCTCCCAAAGTTTTTTGACAAGAAATACGGATAACCTAGGTGCTAAATTCAAAATACAACCAAACCAGTACTCCAACAATTTTATTGACAAAAATAATTGCAGTTAAATAACTTGTCTTCAGAGTGACTGAGTGCCAACCTATTTGGCCAGATCTGTTGCAGTTACCAACAAATGCTCACTGCCCTTCAAAGCTCTGCGATTTCTGGTAAGAGATAAAGATACCATTGTCATCACCCCACTCATCTTCCCATTCCCTTCAGGGCACCTCGTTCTAAATCCTAACTCTTAAGGGAAGTGCAGAAAACATAATAGGATAATATCCGTCCAAAAAGAAGTGGAAGTAATAGGCTTTCTGTTGTGATTTTACTGACCTGGATAGAAAAATGGAGCACCCGACCACAGTTTCTTGACATCCACAAGGTAATATATCAGCAATAAGAGGATGAAGGCAAAGCAGCTCATGGTTGTCACATACGATATTGACCTACACGTATTTTAGAAGAAATTTTAAAAGGTTATTTAGAGCAGAGTATAAGAAAGGAAAAAAAAACAGTCTCCTAGATAAAATAATACTTCATAAAATCATACTAAGAGCTGTATCGCTTTGCTTACCATAGGTTCTTGTTTATGGGAATGAAGCCTTCATCTTTAGAACATTTTGTCAAGGCAGCAGAAATAATTCCCTGAAATCACAGAACCACAGAATTCGTTTAGGTTGGAAGGGACCTCTGGAGATCATCTAGTCCAACCTCCCTGCTCAAGCAGGGTCACCTAGAGCATATTGCCCAGGATCACATCCAGACGGCTTTTGAATATCTCCAGCGAAGGAGACTCCACCACCTCTCTGGGCAACCTGTTCCAATGCTCTGTCACCCTCACAGGGAAGAAGTTTTTTCTCAGGTTCAGATCAATGGTTCAAATGGTATGTTGTTGAAGTTTATGTAACAACAGCAACATGTTTCAGAAACAGAAAGTTTGTGTCACGTTAAAAAAAAATGAAAGCGTTGCCTAGTGATACTTAAGCTACACTAGTTTAGCAAAGTAACTATCTGACTTACCATTACTATGCTCCATATAAAGAATCGACTCATAATTTGTTTGTGCTGGTCTTTGTAAAACAAGATAATTTTTCCCGCCTAATATAAAAAGAATATGAAAATCAATTAGTGTCCAGAAATGTAACTACATTTACATAGCAGGCCAGATGATATATTTCCCACTGGCTACCTGTGTTAGGACACAGAATACCAGTAGGGTTTCTATGACTTAACAAAGCAGCTGGAAGGTTCAAAATGGGAACTCTTCTCAGAGAATGGCCACAGATGGGAAAAACATAAAAATGCAACCCACTTAGCAAGAGAAGTACATCTAGTCTCCTTTCCCGACTACATTAATACTGAGGAACGGGACAAGCAACTTTGTTACTTTTCACATGAAGCCACTCAAGCTCCATCTCTTATTCCTTCGTAGGGATTGCATGAAGTACAATGCGATGTTGACTGTCGAACCAACCCAAATGGCTTCGCCATGGCAGCATGTAGCACCCTGGCCTGCGTGTGAAGGTGAGCACAGCCATAGCGTTGGTGCAAGACAGCCAGCACTGTGTCTGAAAGTCAGCAATGAGGAACATCTATGGTTAAGACCTTCAAAACCATGTTTAAAATTAGGCTGTCAAGTCTCTGCCTCTCTTAGCCTTATTTTCAGAAATGCACAGCCAGGCTGTTCTCAGCATCAACTCAATCTTACAACAAGCAAAGTAAGTTTGTAGGTGGCCGTTTTGAGAGCTTGTTGTGTCTAACCCTTACAAAAATTGAGAATAGGACTTGGAAGTATCTAACTCAAATTACTACCAGGTTAGATTCCAGTTCTCTGACGCTCACTTCAGGCTGAGCTGGCCTGAAAGCATTGCTCTTGAAAATATTTTGTTAGATCTGGTGTGGCTACTGCCATAAACACAAAAAACAAGCTGCCTCCCCACCTCCAAGATAGCTTCAAATCTCCTCATTAAACACACAGCCAGTAAAAAGAAAAAAAAGAGGTACCTGCAGTCCCAGAAATGCCATAACAATGGTATTTATGGTTCCCAGGATCCCTTCAGGATCATACGGCACTTTTGTTTGGTAAAGCACCTTAGAGAGAGAACAGTTATTACCAGGTATGCAAGCAACCAGTCTCCTTTCTTTTCCATTCCCCTCTGCAGTCAACATGCCGTTCCTAAGCCCCCACTGACAGCTGTGTTCAGTGCTCGCCTGCAGCTTCATACTACAAACCAAAAGCTATTTACACTTGACGAGGGATGCTGATATATATGCTTTTCTCCGAGAAGCAAACGATCAATGTAACCAGCTGCTCCTCCAGTGCAGTTAGGATACTTTCCAAAATCACCAATGCCCCCAGGACCAAGATAGCCCCTAGGACAGAAACAAACAGGTTACAGCACTAAGCATTGCTACGCTCCACCTGCAGAGTAGGTGGCCCACCGGCCCAGAAATGCTAGACATGTTCCCTGGCCAGTGGCACACAGCATAACACAGGCCCTACGTGACAGCTGGATGGTGAACTCCCTGTTTTGAACATCCCAAATGCTATGAGCAGCCCGATGATGATGGGACAAGCAATTCCAGGAACCTAAAGTGACAATCCAGTTCAGCCCTGGCTACCCAGCCAGCTGCTCCGCCTGCTCTGCAGGTGCTCATCCCACGCGGGGACAAAGACAGAGACTGCAATGATACGGAGATGGTCCTATGTTACAAACACAGACCTCAGGAAATTGTAAGCCTCCTCTTTAGCTAGAAAGAATGTCACCTTTCTAACCCCAGCTATTTTGTACCAAAGTAAAGAAAGGTTTTTCATGTGATAAATGCTTCCCTTGA